ACTACTTTTTGCTGCCCATTTGAAGTATATATGAATATATACAAAAAAAGTAACAAATCATAAATGGAACTAATTTTTTGTATGTTGCAAAATCACTAAAAAAAGGGGCAGGATATGAGCGAGTGGAGCTGGCGCGATGTGCAGTGTCTGAGCATGTGTGATGGTGGACTGTGGACCTATGCTTACTTGGGCCCAGTTTAGTTCACAAATTTTTTTGGCCAAAAGCAAAAATTTTGGCGTTTTGGCATTTGGGAACTAAACTGGCCCGAAAAATTTTGGGCCAAAATTTTTTGCGAATTCGGCCTGCTATGGCCTTGGCCTGCGTGCCCAACCCTATCCCTCCGTCCCGCAGCCGACGCCGAACCCTATCCATTCAGCTTGCTCGCCCAACCCTATCCGCGCCTCTCTCGCCGTCTCCATCGCAACGCCGCCGCTCTCGTCCTCGCCATCCCAGAGCCGCATCCATCGGAGGTGGCTTCGTCTCTCCTCTGCTGCGTCCAAGAAGCGGTTCAATCCGTCGGCGGGCCGGCCGCGCGCGTGCACGGGGGCCGGGGCCAGCCATCCACGGCGACAATTTCGACGGCTCCTACGCTGTCCCTAACCCGGCAAGCACCTTCTCTGATGCATGTCTATTGTTCAAGTACGATGATGTATGTTGATGTGTTACAAGCTCAGTTAGATGCATGTATATTGTTCATGTATGCTGATGTGTTAGAAGCTCAGTTTTTGAATTGTTCTTGTATGCTTGTTAGTGTTAGCTGCATGTGTATTGTTCAAGTATGTTCATGTATGTTGATATGTTAGAAGCTCAGTTTATGAATTGTTCTTGTATGTTTGTTAGTGTTAGCTGCATGTCTATTGTTAAAGCTTGTCAGTGTTTATTGTTCAATATTGTTGTCCCTCTTCACTGTTTAGGTTCAGAAGCATAAAGCAAATTGGTTACCAGACAACATAGAGAAGTTCTGTGACTCCTACCTTGCCGAGATACATGCTGGGAACTGTCCAGGAGGACAGATGAACAAATTTGGGTGGAAGAACGTCGCTCGGAGGTACTATTTAGCATCAGGCTTGATGCATGACAGAGAACAGCTTCAAGGCAAGCTGAGGACACTCAGGAAAATATGGACATTGTGTGACAAAGCACAAAACCACACTGACTTAGGTATAGATGCAGATGGAAAGATTCATGCTTCTGACCAATGGTGGAATGACAATGCTCAGGTAATTTGTTATATAGGGTGCTCTGTTATTAACAAATGTTAATTCCCTAATTGCTTGACAACTACATCGGTCTATATTGTATAGGGTGACAATGATTTGCTGAAGATTAGAAGGGATGGTGTGCCTGCATACTTGGACTAGCTGCATGGCATGTTCAAAGGAAACACAGTTGATGGGACAACCTCCTTTGTTCCTGCTGCAAGAGAGACCATTAACTTGAATGATGATGATTCTGATGAAGAAGCAGGACAAGAGCAGGAGGATGAACTGACCCCTATGAGTGTTGGAAATAAGAGGACCAGCAGTACAAGCACAAGTGAATCCAGCCCCAGCAAGAGGTCAAAGAGCCCAGCAGTGAGGGCAATGACCATCCAAATGACCACACACAATGACTTAAGCAGAGAGAGGCTACAGTTCTTCAAGGAGAGAGAGCAGAAGGGAGGAAGTGCTGCAGAGATTAGTTAAGAACAAGTCCTGGAAGATAACAGAGTGCACCAGGATAGCTCTACAAGAGCTGGGCATCAGTACTACAACGAAGACTTTGTTCTCTGGATTGCACAAGCTAGTGCAATCAGAAACTGAAATGGACTTCTTCCTTGCCCAAGACACTAAGGAAGGGAAGATGCACGTCATCGAGCTGAATATCCCGCAGACTGGCCTGGTGGACAACTAGAAAACTTAGCCTTATTTGCATGTAGGGCATTTGGTGCAGGGCGTATAAACTTGTTGTGTCCTGTTGTGTTGTGTCAGTTACATTTGAACTTGTTATGCAGTATGATGGGTTTATTTACTGTTTTCCTATATTAACTTGTGGAATGGATATATGTGCTGTTTTGAAACTTGATCATGTGGGATGACAGGGAGTGATGCATGGGATTCATGGGCTGTTTGATCAAATGACTGACTTGCTCTTGTCTCTGTCCATGACAGGTTGGTGATGATGATCAAGATGCAAGAAGACAACAGTTGCTGCAGATGATATTGGATGATGATGATGATGAGTTGATGGAAGAGCTAATGAATGATGACGAGGATGATGAGTTTCTCCATGGTATGTACCAGTTTGCTGTGCACATTGACAAGTATATGAATAGGGCTCAGTATAGGACTCCAAGAGTTAGTGGTTTCCAGTGGGTGCATGATAAGCTTGACAACATTAATTCTTGTTACAACATGTTTAGAATGACCCCAACAATGTTCCATAGCCTTCATAACTTGTTAGTAGACAAATATGGGCTCAAGTCTACCACTAAGTCCACATCTTTAGAGGCTTTAGGGATGTTTCTTTGGATGGTAGGAGCACCACAGTCTGTTAGGCAAGCAGAGGACAGGTTTAAGAGGTCATTGGGCACTGTTTCAACAATGTTTACCAAAGTTTTGAGGTGTCTGGTCAGGCTTGCTGCAGACAATATTAAGCCAGTGGATCCACAGTTCAGAACAATGCATCCTAGACTAAGAAGTAGTAGATTTTATCCCTACTTCAAGAACTGCATAGGGGCTATAGATGGGACTCATATCCCTTATGTCGTGCCAAACCATTTGTTTATTCAGCACTTGTGCCGCAAGAGCATCACTACACAAAATGTAATGGCCTGTTGTGACTTTGACATGAGGTTTACATTTGTTAATGCTGGCTGGCCTGGATCTGTTCATGACATGAGAGTGTTCAATGATTCAACAACAACATACTCCGCAGTCTTTCCACATCCACCAAATGGTATGTAGGTACACATGAGTGTAATTGTTCCTTGTGGGTTATGTACCTGTTGCTCATAATTTATTTGCTGCTGTAGGCAAATACTCTCTAGTGGACTCCGGGTATCCTAACCGGCTGGGTTATCTTGCTCCATACAAGGGAACCAAGTACCATCTCCAGGACTTCCGCGACGGGCCCGAGCCACAACATAAAGAAGAGCTCTTCAATTACACACACTCTTCTCTTAGGAATGTTATTAAGAGGTCATTCGGGGTACTGAAAATGAAGTGGCGGATCTTGCAAAAGATCCCTCCTTATTCACCTGAGAAGCAAGCCCAAATCATTTGTGCATGTATGGCTCTTCATAATTTTGTGAGGACTAGTGGCTTACCAGATAAGCATTTCGGTAGGTGTGACCGAAATGAGAACTTTGTGCCGAGACAAGCTTATCAAAATCAACCTGAACCCGAGGTAGTGGAGGATGAGGAGTGGTCATGCATGAATGCCATCCGTGATTCGCTTGCTAATGCTCTGATGGATCGTAATTGACAGTTTTGTGTGATTCAATACATGTTTCTATAGTACAGTGTGTTACGGCTTCTGTGAATGCTTGAGCACAGTCTGATGTAACAGGGATGACAGTTTTGTTGAATGTGAATGCTCTGAATGTTGGATGAGGAGTGGTCATGCAGTTTGCATGGAACACAATTAATGCAACCAAAATATACTATTCAATGCTGATATCGATGCAAAATTCTTGGCAACTAAACAGCAAAATGCAAAAACTTTTGGTGTCAGCATTTTGGTGTGCTGCTACCCCATTTTGGATTTCATGTATTTGGCAAAAAATTTGGGGAACTAAACTGGCCCTTGCTTAGCTTCAGTTAGGCAAAATGTCAGGTGTGTATGTAGACAGAAGGGGAGGTGGGACCGTGGTTGGGCTGGACCAAGAGAGAAAAGGGAGAAAGATGGGTCTGTGTTGAGGAGAGAGGTGGGTCTATGTTGGGCTGCCTATAATTTTAGTCTGGGATGGGTCAGTGTTTAGGCTTAGATTTAAACATGTTTTCTATAAGTGAAGAGTTTTCCTTTAATCCAGACACAGACATTCATGCATGTACATACACTCGCTTATATAAATATATGTGCACACACCCTACCCCTGCGCACGCACACATTGAGTTGATGTTGAAAAAGAATCAAATGAAACCCCTAAAATAAAAACTCCATTGAAGACTAGCGAAGACCTACAATAAATCAGTTTGTGGACAATGCACCACTTAGTTTGTAGGCAACCAACAACTTAGTTTCGGGCACCTAATTTGTAGGCAATAAACCACCTAGTTTGATATGTATAGGTTGATAGTTTTGACTTTATGCAGACGTGGCTCTACATTATGCTGAGCACTACACAAAAAGCCATAAATATTTTGGATTTTTGTAAGTCCAAACATTGTAGAAACTTGTGCTAGGTCACACAAGAAACATAGTGTTATGTGTATAAAGCTACATATATGCATTTTTTTACGCAAACAGGAGGGGTATATACCCCTAGTGAACTTTATTATGATTATAAAAAGCAAAAGGAGTTACAGAAAATTTTCAGAGACAAAAAAGTAAAGTGTGGAAAAAAAATGAGGGAAATTACAACAGAGCTTCTAGCCATAATTCAATTTGGGGAGCCACGAAGTTAACACAAAAGTTTACAGCAGTACGTTGGGTTTGGTTACTGCTTTTTAATACATATCTTTTATTTATTTATTAAATCTGAATGACCGGCTCGAGTCGTAGATGACCTGACAACCTGGAGAAAACGCTTTGCTCTGAAGAAGGTGGGCAGCCCTGAAAGTTTTCAGGCTTGGCTCCAATATCTGCAAAGCTGTAGAAACCTCCCCCCGGTTACCTCTGATGTATACTTCCTGGTCTTGTGTAATCCCTGGTGTAATGCGATCTGGTTGTAATTTGTAATCTGAACATTCTCTCTCACTATAATATAATTCCAGGTGGGGATCCTCCCCCCCCCTAGTCTTTCAAAAAAAAAAAAAAAAAAAAAAAAAAACTGAATGACCGCGGACTGGGTAGTCCTTTACTTCAGGTATTTGTCGAACCAGCTGATCATGTAAGCTAGGGCTTGCTCAGCAGTTTTGACAGCGAAAGGATCGGTGGTATTGTATCTGTTGGCAAATCCGTGCTCAACTCCCTGAAAGACCTTTGCATAGTAGGGAACCTGCAACAGACAGTGCCACTAAGATGAGTTGCTGCAATTCAACTGGTATCCAGACAGACAGTGTCACTGAAATCACTAGGAACTCACCTCTTCTCTTTGACGCAGTACATGCACAAACCGGTACACTAGTTTTGGCGGTGTGCTTGTATCGTATTGAGCTCCAAGGATCTCAATTGGACATTTGACCACTGTTTTGAACGAACATAGTTAGCATATGAAAATCCAGCGCATAAGGCTAGTGAAGCGGCTGCAAGGTTGCGGACACAGAAAAAGAAAAGGAGCGGTACCTTTCATGTCATCCGCAGTCACACTATAAGGATGCGAAATGCATACGGATTTAACCTCATTCGTTTTCCCCACCTCCACACTAAACTTTCCTGCCAGTGAAGGAAGCAGCAACAAGGCCGGTAAGAAACAGGATGTTGTATGCGTTGCATGAAAGGAATATTTGTTTAAGTTGATATGGATTTCACACACCTCCCCAACAATAACCTCCTACAGCGATGGTCTTTCCTTCCTTTGTCAAAGCAGCAAACAGTGGCTTCGCGTCTTCAGCAGCTTTTACCTGTAAGATTGATAGGGTCCTCAATCAATTGCTTGTTGTTTCTTGTGATACAATGTACTAACATGTTTTGAACCATTCGTTATACACTATCGAACAGAAGCATGACGATATATTGATTGATAGGGACAAGACAATGAAAGTTGACGAGTGTGTGGAACAGACCGGAGAGTGAGCCTTGAGCCATTCCGTAAGATTTTTCTTCTCATCTAAATAGTCTCCATTGAAGAAATCAGGCACCACAACGAAGTATCCAGCCTCACCAACTTTGTCGGCTATCTTTCTGCATTAATAAACGCCCATCAGTACTACTTAGCTTTCAACTTTTTAAATCAAAAGGGCGGAAACAAAAGGGGAATATGTGTAGCCTGGGCAAAGTGTAATCTATCATACATGCAGGACTAAACTTGTGTTGCATAAATACCTCAGAGCATTATTGTTAGTTTCTCAGAAAAGTGAACTGGAATAATAGATCTACTTCTTTCTTCCTTTAGTTGATACATCTGCTCTGCCTCATTATGTACAGAAGGCTTACTTGACACCTAAGCAAAATATCTAATTTTGTCCCTAACTCTAATCCTAATGAGCCTCTCATGCTAATTAATGACCCAGCCCATAAGGCCTAGCAACCTGACCATGACAGTTTGTTTGAAGACGGAGTCAATCATAGTACAAACATTTTGCTCGAATGGGCGTCATCGTTCGAACATAAAGCCGCCACTCTAAAAGTTTACGTAATGTCTAAAATCAACTTGCTCATATTAAATTTGGCGGAATTCTTGAGGGCTCTAATGTTTCCCAGATTTTTAGCTGTCGAACCCAAATTTCACTATTCGTGCTATATATCAGTCTGTCAATCCCAAAGGCAGTTCATCCCTTCCAAACATTTTCGTGTTATTACCAGCACTGAAGTGCCTGCACACCAGAACCGTGATGGGTCTACAAATTGAAGCTGTGACACAGCCCCTTTTAATTATTAGATTAGACTGTTCGTTTTGCTGACAGAATACTTTCACATGACACTGTGATCGTTACCTAGGACTGTTTTCATCCTTTCAGGAAAATAGCATGCAACTGAAAATCTTTAATAGTTAGCTGAAGAAATTGACATTTCGGCATCTGAATCATGTCTCAATGTTTAACTTTCCAGGAGCTAGTATATTCCTTTGTAAAACCTTTAGAATGTCCCGGTCCCCCAACTCTTTTTTGTGCTGTCAATGACCATCTAATCCTTCACTTTACAGATAATGTAGGGCATGGATTGATGCCGTGTAGCCTCCAACTAAAGCTACAATTTTGTCTTAGAGTTTTCAAGACTATAAGATTCCTAGTGTAGTATGCGATGCAACATTTGTGCCAGCCAAATGTTAAAACAATATTATAGAAAAAGAAAATGATGTATGGAGTACAAACAAGGAAAAACTAAGATCAATTTAGCGGAGTGCATGCTATCTGTTTGTTCGAAGTTTCCTAAAATTGGGGTTGCTGTAGTCGACCAAGAACAGAGCCTTTTAGAACCACGATACCAGTACACCAGAGAAGAACAAGAAAGGAACTGAACGTTGGCAACGGATACAGTTACGTACCTGAGTAATGGTGCTTCGAACCCTGCAGGAAATCAATCAAAAAATTAGAGGGAGAAATGAGAGCTTCCTGTCAAAAACGTATCTATGCCCAAACGACTATATAAAACGGATCGATGCACCGACCGTAAACGTCGGAGGCGAGGACGATAGCGTGGCTAGAGCTTGCGGCGCCGGTGACGTAGGCCCTGAAGCCACCTGGGAGATCGTGGACGACCTCGCCGGCCTCGGCCTGGCCGCCAAGAAGAGACCGCTCCGGCGGGTTGTCGAGGCACTGCAGGTGCGCCTGAGCGGTAGCCGCCGCCGCAGCAAGCATGACGGCAAGGCAGAGGAAAACCTGCGCAGAAGGCATGGTGCTTGGAGACTTGGAGTTGGACTAATGCTTGCCGCTGCTGCATCTCGTCGTTGCGTGTGCTAAATAACACAGCAGCTAGGTTAGATGGGGACTGGGGAGGACATGGCGCATCACTCACACTGTTTGATTTCGACGTTGTCATCCTGAGCAGGCGGCCTTTTTTATCAACATTACATTTAAAATTTTATTTGTTATTAATATTAAATATACATTTTAGTTAATTTGGTAATACTTATTCGATTTTATAAATATTTTTATAAATTTTATTAAATTCAAATTTGTTTGAGAAGAGAGAATTGCATTTTGTTTTGAGGGAGGGAGTAATTTGCTACAAAAGGATGGGCGTCGGAGCAGGGCACGATGCAGGATGTTTCGTTCGTACCTCGCAGGACTGCGACAAGTGAATCATGTACGGCGGCGGCTAGCGGGAACTTTCCTACGCGAGTGCGTGAGCGCTGGCGTAGCGGGCAAGTAGGTGGTCATGGTCAACACTCAGCACGCGGGCCGCGGCTGCTGGCAAGTGATTCGGGGAAACAACGCCGTGCACCTGCAGTTGCTGCCGCAAGTCCACCACACCTGGTGGACACCTGTTGAGAGGTACGGTCGTCACCTGGACGGCTGTGCCTGCCCTGCAACAACACGGAGTAACAGGACTACCGGAGGCAATCGGTGCTGCCCACAACGAGTTAATAATGTTTGTTTTCTCACTGGGCGTGCGTGGGCATGTTCGGCGGGTGTTAAAGTCGGCTGATAAGCCGACTGAAGTTGTTTTGTTATGAGATAAAAATACTGTAGATTCTATCTCATAAACCGGCTGATAAGTTTAAGCGAACAAGCCCTAAATTAGTTATAGACGAACAAATGGTACTGCACGACGACTGAAACAAAACCGGTAGTGCTCTCGTGTAACGAACTCAGGTGCAGATACAGATCGAACACAGGTAACTGATAGGATTTCTCAGAATGGATAGAGTTTGGGGTACAAGATCAGCAGGGAATCCAGGGGAGAAGCAAGAACAGCAATGGGGAGGGTTCAGACAGTTTGTTGGAGAAATGGTTTCAGTTCTGTTCGATGCCGCCCACCGTCGGTTTACAAGGGTTATATACCCAACACACGGCACGCAGGCCCAATACAGCTAACTTCGGCCCAAGACGCGAGCCTGAACGTCGCCCCAACTCTAGCCACCGTCCTTGCCTTCTTCATCTGGCACATAACAGTGCCCACCCCTTGAAATCCTGCTTGCCCCCAAGCTGGAGCATCTGGGTATCGCCGCGGCAAATCAAATGCCTCCTCCCAAGTTGTCAGCTTCTCCGGCCACCCTGACCACTGAACCTGCAATTCGGTATGAGTGGTAGAACCTTTCTTCACCAGCCGAGTGTCAATAAGATGCAGTGGTGTCAGTACTGAAACCGGATCAATCAGTTCATCAGACACAATCTCCGTTGATGGAACATGACGCTTCAGCTGAGAGACGTGAATTACTGGATGTATCTTGGCTGATTCTGGCAGATCCAATTTGTATGCCACTTGACCAACCCTCTGAAGTACTCTGAACGGCCCAAAGTATTTGTATGCCAATTTCTGGTTGGACCGAGAAGCCACTGACGTTTGAATATAGGGTTGCAGTCTCAAATAGACTAAGTCACCTACTGCAAATTCTCTTTCAGACCTGTCCTTATCAGCTTGATCTTTCATACGCTGACTAGCCCTCAGTAATTGCTGCTGAATGACTTGATTCAGTAGCTACCTTTCAGTTAACCATTCTTCCAATTCAGTGGGATGACATGCATCATTGTTGCTGATTCCAAAATGTCTTGGCTTGTGTCCATAAAGCACTTCAAATGGAGTTCTATCCAGGGCTGTATGATAAGAAGTATTATACCAATACTCTGCTAATGGGAGCCACTTGCTCCACTGCTTTGGATAGGATTGCACTGAACATCTAAGAAAAGCTTCCAAGCACTGATTCAGACGTTTTATTTGACCATCAGATTGAGGATGATATGAGGAGCTCATGTGCAGTTGAGTGTCTGATAATTTGAACAAATGTTGCCATACAGTACTTGTGAAAATCCTGTCACGGTCAGAAATGAGTACCTGAGGCAATCCATGCAGTTTATAGACGATGTCCATATATACTTGGGCCACTTACAGTGCTGTAAATGGGTGAGACAGTGGTATGAAGTGCCCATATTTGGTGAACTTGTCAACCACCACTAATATCGTGTTATACCGATTTGATGGAGGCAGTCCCTCAATAAAGTCCAGACTAACCACATTCCAGGCCTGATCAGGGACAGGCAAAGGTGCTAGCAGTCCAGGCAATCTGACCCTCTCAGTCTTAGCCTGCTGACATACCTGACAAGCTTGAATGTAAGTCTTCACTGTCTCCTTCATTTTTGGCCAGGCAAACAGATTCTTTATCCTCTGATAAGTTGCATGAAGTCTTGAGTGCCCGCCAATTCCACTGCTATGAAGAGACTGGAGAATATGTTGTTGAGCAAAAGCATTCTGTCCAATCCAGATTCTGCCTTTGAGCCTAATGACACCATCAGTCAGAGTATACCCCTGATCATTGGACTTGGACATAGCTAACTGCTCAAGTAGCTTGACTGCCATTGGATCATTACTATATTCCTGAACCAAGTTAGCTACCCATGCAGGTGTGCAAGCTGACAAGGAACAGACAACTGCTTGAGGTGAACATCTAGACATGGCATCAGCTGCTACATTACTGGAACCTTGCCTATACTGAATAGTAAACTGAAGGTCCATAAGTTTCAGCAAAGCCTTGTGTTGTAGCTTAGTGTTTGCTTTTTGCTCAGTCAAAAACAACAAACTCCTGTGATCAGTTCTGATGACAAACCTTTGATGTTGCAAGTATGATCTCCATTTATCAACAGCCATAATTATTGCCATACATTCTTTTTCATATGTAGATAGGCCCTGGTTTTTTGCACACACTGGCTTGCTGAGATAAGCAATTGGGTGACCATTTTGCATTAAGACAGCCCCAAATCCAGTATCACTAGCATCTGTCTCCAATATGAACTCCTTGTTGAAATCAGGTATAGCTAGGACTGGAGCTTGCACTAAAGCTTGTTTCAATAGCAGAAAAGCTTCCTGAGTTGTTGGAGACCACAGATAAGGCACACCCTTTTTCAATAGCTCAGTGAGTGGCCTGCTTATCATGCCATAATTCCTGATGAATTTTCTGTAATATCCTGTTAGCCCCAAAAATCCCCTTAGTTCCTTCAAATTCTTTGGAATTGGCCACTGTTGAACAGCTTGTATTTTTGAGGGCTCTGTGGCCACTCCAGCTGCTGAAATGCAATGCCCCAGGTATTCAATTTCATGTTGAGCAAAAGAGCATTTGCTGAGCTTGACAAAGAACCGGTTGTGCCAAATGATATCAAACACTTTAGTCAACAGGGCACAGTGCTCTTCCATAGTCTTGGAATATACTAAGATATCATCCATAAATATCAGGACACCTTTCCTCAGCAAAGATGCAAACAATGTGTTCATCACACTTTGAAACGTTGCTGGTGCATTTGTGAGTCCAAAAGGCATGACAAGAAACTCATATAGGCCATTGTGGGTCTTAAATGCAGTCTTGTGAGTATCTTTGTCAGCAATGCAAATCTGATGATATCCTGATCGAAAATCTAGTTTGGAAAACAGCTTGGCTCCATGTAACTCATCAATGAGCTCATCTACCATAGGTAAGGGATGCTTATTCTTTACTGTTATGGCATTCAGCTGCCTATAATCTACACAAAAACGCCAGGTGCCATCCTTCTTTTTGACTAAAAGAACTGGTGAAGCATATGGACTAGTACTGGTTTGATTATTCCATGTTCAAGCATCTCAGTTAATTGTCTTTCAATTTCTGTTTTCTGAACTGGTGCATACCTGTATGGTCAAACATGAACAGGTTGAGCTCCAGGAACCAATGTAATCTGATGATCACAGGGTCTCTTAGGAGGTAGCTCTGTTGGTTCCCTAAACACATCATCATATTTGTCCAACAAATGCTGAATTTCCACAGATATGTCAGCTTGTTGCACAGAGCATAACTGAGAGTCTCCTGAATCCCCAGACTGCTGAACTGTCACAGCTTTGTGCTGAGCCACAGCTGGCAAAAGCTGAATGCAATGAATCACTACTTTTCTTCTTAATAGACCTTTGAGTCTTCCAGCACTTATAGCAGAACACTTAGATACTTCTGATTTGACACCTCTCAAAGTAACTCTGGTGCCATTATGAATGAACCTCATTATCTTCTTGGTCCAGTGCACCCACATGGAGCTGCATCCTTCAAGCCAATCTTCCCCAAGGATCATATCATAACACCTTAGAGGCAATACTCTAACAGAGGTACTAAATGTGTGTCCCTGAGTGGACCAAGTCAAATTAGGGATCCTCTGAGAACATATCATTGGTGAGCCATCAGCAGTGACATATTGAGCCTCAGGACAGCCCTGCAGTTGATTCTTCAGCTTTTCAGCAACATGAGTGCTTATGAAGGAGCCCACACTACCAGAGTCTACTAGAATGAGAACCTCCACATTCCCAATGACTCCACTCAACCTCATAGTCTTTCTTTTCTACTGACAGAGATCTGCTTGATCTCCAATAGCCAGAACCCCATCCATCTCATTGGATTCTTCTGCAGACAGATTGTGAGACAACCCTTCCTCATCTAAAGCATCCAATAACTCCACCACATGGATGGAAATTTGAGTAGGGCATTTATGTCCAAGACCCCATTTTTCCCCACACTTGAAGCATAGCCCATTTTGTCTTCTATAAGCTTTGAGAGATCCCAACTTATCTTCTGCCACTTTCATCTTCCCCTTTTCTACTTCAACTACTTTGGGCTTGTCAACTGGGTTGAATGCCTTGAAACCAGATCTGTTATGATCCTACCAGATCTGTTATGATCCTTGACTGCAAACTTCTTCTTGGAATTCACCAATTCTTCTTCTTGCAA